ATTTTTTTAATTTTTTATCTTGATTTTAGAATGCACATCTTCATAAGCACTCGGGCAAAATGTAATTATGTGTGAGTTGATTTTATAAACAATATTAGAGATATTGCATGAATGAAAATAAATTAGGGGCAAATTCTCCAACAAAACTCCTGCACAGCAAATACCTAGCATTTTTTATAAAAAAATTATATCAAGAATGAACATTGACCTTATACTATATGGACCTTATATAATACTACATGGACCTTATTCTACATGGACTTCTACTACATAGACCTTATACTACATTAACTGCTAGTCATCATATGTTTTCCATTGTATAAAATGTACAAAGATAGAAGGGACTTTGACGTAACTTGCTCAACGAGCGTTGCCGACAATCGTGGACTCTCCCGTTTGATTAATTGTCATATGTCATGATTTTATTTTAATAATATAATGGACATTGTGATGACTGATAATTTTGAAAGGAATTATATTAATAATTAATTAACCGTTGTCATAACAACGCTATGTTACGGTTTATTTTATCGAAGAATTGGCCCTTTAATTGAATAAAATACTTTTTCATCTTTACGTTTTCATATGGGTAGTAGTTTGTTTTTGTAAAACATAGTAACATTATATTAAAAAAATAAGAAAAATGTGTCACAATCATGTTTTTGAAAAATCTTGTTGTTTCGCGATAATATGTATGTAAATATGTGTTTTTTCATATTACGAAGGAAAAGCATTATATGCAGCTTTAGGTGTTTCGCCTGGGTATTTTGAACTCAATAAAAATAATACCTACTAAAACCTTTTCTACATATGTGTGCATGTGTATTTTTTAAATATCTATTACTTTTTATGACGATTATTACACAATTGTCGAAGCACGAGCATATCCGTTCTAAAAAATTTCTACAATACAAGCAATTCATGTAATTGTATGAAACAGAACAAAAATGAAACAGTTCGCGGTCGGCATTTCCTTCCGTTATGATTTTCAACCACATTCCTTTTTGCAACTAGTTTAATTTAATCATAGTTATAAAAATTTCTTTTACATGGACGAGAACTTGTCCAGAGATCAGCGATTTCAGTAATAAACATAATAGAAATTTGTGATCCAACGATTCTATGTATATATGCAAAATCAGGACTCCTTTCAGAAGTTTTCTTCAAAACTTTTTTTTAACTGTTTTATTTATCAGAAATACATAAAGATTCCTATGAGCTAAATTGACAATATTTAAGAGCGATGCCTAAGAAGAACTCCAATGAGATATTCTCAGTTTTACAATTAATATGATAATATTACATTAGACCTAATCTAAGACTAAATTTAAAGACCATTGTCGTTTCAAATTTCTAGAGATGCAAATTTTGATTTTTGTGATGCTAAGGTGGATAAATATATATTTTTATATAATATGTCCATAATTAACGCTGTTTTTTATTTGTCGTCATCAACTATATTCCCATCATCGCAAATTAGTTTTCGCACAAATTCGATATCACATTTCATGTTCATTTGACGGAATTCGAAACCTCTGCGATTTTGAAACTTAAAACTCTGATAAATGTCGACGATTTGATTTCATAATAACATTTATGCCAACGATTAATTATTTTTTATAAAATTGCTGATTGTAGATTGTAGGCAGTATTGGAATAGTTGATTAGTCGAACGTTCGGAAATTTTGACATATGAAAGGAAATACACGTAGAAGAAAAGTTGATTTCAAAACTTCCGAGTTTTGTACTTTTCCGTTCTAATAATTAAATATTTTTTGCGAAGGAGAGAATTTAATTGCCAAAGCATTTTATGTTATGCTTAATTTTATTTAGCAAAATTATGAGTTCCACATGAGTGGGATTACCTACCCCTTTTGCATAAGCCAAACAATTTCAATATTTTTAGCCCTTTGCTCTAAAATTTTAGCCAGAAATTTTAAAAGCTGGTATTATCTTTTTAGCTAAATCAGGTTTTTATATCACCAAACGAAAAAAATATTTCTTTAAAAACTAAACGATTTTGATTTAGTTAACATGTCCAGCCTTATTTTTATTGAATTCTATATTTTATTTAAAAATAAATTGGAATCCTAAATATTTAATACCAGGAACTGTTAATAAATTATATTTTTGCAGTTCTAATTTTATAACGAATTCCTCTTGATGATAAAACCATATATCGGTATGGTGCCTCTTGAGTTTTTGATTTATGACTGGTTAATAATTATAAATACCTATTTGGAGTATTTGATTTATTTGTGGAATGCCTTATTATCAAATTTATTGGATGTATATATATATATATATATATATATATAACATAAATAAATAAAATTTATTCATATGAAAATTTAATTATTCATTTACAAACTTTAGCAATTATTCCAGATCCTGGTCAAACTTTTTTGAACTGTTTTGAACAAAACAAGAGAACAAATTAAGATAATTTTATAAAAAGTAAATCATTATTATTAGAGAAAGTATCATTTATATTTAATCGTCTTATCGATAATACTACCCTCAGTGAACATGATAGTCGTTTATTTGATAAACTGGTCTTTTAATTATATTTATCAGAATTGATACTTACAAATTAGATAATGTTCTTAATTTTCCTTGTCTTTTTAAAGGCCTTATCATATCTCTGGCTGTGACAATAAATAATCATACTTGATCCAATCGATGTATGATAATATTTACTCAATAAAAATTAATAGGTTGTTACTATAAAAAAAATAAAAATAATAATTGTACTATAATAAAATAAAATATAATTTTTATTGTAAAATATATATCATGGTAGCAAAATATAACAAAACTGTAAATAGTGGTCCATTTTAAAGTGCTCTTTTTATTCTAGAGTTTATTTTTTATTTTAAATTTTAAATTTTAAATTTTGCTTGATGAAACATTATTTTTTACGTTAAACAACATTTGCCTCTGAAATTTAGAGGTTGAAAATGTTGAAACATAGGATTAATTTTAATCAATAGAGTTTTCCTCAACTTCAGTACTAATTATTTGTTTGTAAATAATTTAAAATAAAATTTAATAAAGAGCAAGAACAATAATAAGAAGCCTCTTAGTTCTAAAAATGAAATTAAAAAAAATGCTTTTTAATAAAATTATTTATAAATTATTATATACCTTCACTTACTAATATGAAATTTTGTATTATATTTTAAATAATTTAAGATGAGTTATTTTCCTCATTTTCAATGATAATAATTAATTGTTTATAAATTTAATAGAATAAAATCTGATATTCAGCAAGATATTTTAATTTCTTGTAAAAAAGATCTCTTTGATTATTCATTAGAAATAGAGTATTATTTCTCATCTTTAGAGCCTATCAATTGTTTATAAATAATTTTAAATGAAATCAAATAAACTACAAAATATAAACAGAGTAATAAACAACTAGTGGTGTATGCCATCGTGCCTTAAGGAAAATTGCTGGAACTTCCCGTACCGTAACGAAATGTTCGAGGATTATTAAATGTTTTCAAATAGATTATTATAAATAAATACTGTAACGTTGTCTAATATTTATAAGAATTATATAAACTGAATTCCAAAGTTGAAAATATTTGTTTAAAGTATTAGAACTTAAGTCAGAATTACAATTAAAATCTGAATTATTTTCGATATACAAAAAAAAATATTTTTTGAAAAAAAATTTATATATTTTCCAAAAGCAATTAGTTTGTTAAAACAAACAGAAAGTTCTTTGAATCATTGAAATCGGTCGCTTAGTTTTCTCAAAACTGCCATTTTTTGCACATTTAGCTCTGTTTCTCCGAAACCGCAGGACCTGCTTTTGCCAAAAACTAATCACCACTTCTCCCCGTCTTTACGAATTGAATGTTCTTTGGATCATTCAAATCCGAAGCTCCGATCTTCCAAAAACTTGATTTCTGTTTTCTGCATTTTTTGCTCCGTATCTCCGAAACGGCTGGACCTGCCTTTGCCAAAAACTAATTAGCACATCTCCCTATTAATAGGAATCGAATGTTTTTTAAACCATTCAAATCGGTGCGCCTGAAAACGTGGACGAATGATTGTATCCATACATACACACACACATCCATTTTTTCTGACATATGCCAAAATGTTCAGAAACCTTCAAAACGTGAAGAAATGTAAAAAATTTCAATTCGACTTTGTTAATACATATGTCAACATCAAATTCAGAATTATACAAGAAAAATATACATATATACCAATACGTGTACATAAATACAAATATACATACAAGTATATTTTTGTATTATTAAAAAGTTTGTAAAACTAAAAATATTTGCTTTATCAAAAATGCTCCAATCCAATCTAAAAATTGTCCGTCATACGCAATCTTATTACACCTCACCTCCGCGCTCGTAGTTTTTCTGACTATCCGTAATGTTTGACTTCATCTCGGCGAAGAATGTGGGTCCAGGCATACATACCTGTTGCTATGTTTCGTTGTTTACCTCCTGAGGCGAGCTCTTTCTTCGACTACAACAAATTCTACATCTACATATAAAGAACGAATTCTACCTGTGATATTATATCGAAGTTACCTGAGTATTCCACATACAATCGCAATATTCGGCTCGGTGTTGGTGCTCGGCGGCTACGGACGCCGACAACTGCACCTTTGCGCTAAGGTAGTACCGTGTTGTACCTCAGCGCGCGAAGACCGGAATGATAATAAAAATTTAATTTTCAATATTTTTTTTAAATTTTATCATTTATTTATTAAAAATGGTGCGTGAAAATTGGTCGGAAAATGGTGTGATAGATTTGTGCATGGATGTTTTATACGACAAGTTTTATCTTTGATGTGTTTTTGTGAACATATGATACGACAACGCGCGGTTCTGCCTTGTGTTGTGATGGCGTAACGTTGCTTTGGATGTTAAACATTGTATCAAAATTTCAGTTACAATTGTGTTAAGTGTACAAAAATAATTTCTGAACCAAAGTGATTTTTACAAATATTTCGTTTATCTGTGTCCATTATTGTGATCTGGAACATTTCATACTCTGCAAGGATAACGTATGCTATGCTTCCAAATTGGTCGAAATGCGTCCAAAGTTGTCGACAACATTTTGTCAGTTGTTGTTGGCGATTGTTTTACTGTCAACAATTGGAACGGTGACCTGTGGCAGGTCCAAAAATCGTACTAATCATACTGTGAAGGAAAAAAGTAAGTAGAGATAAAAATTTAAAAACTCATATTAATAATAAGCATATCAGATTTTAGTTTTAACAAATTATTATCTAAGTAAAAACATTTAAATTTTTCTTTTCTATGATGGCTTCAAAGAATGCATGTATGTTTATTTTGCACAATTGACAATTCGTTCATAAATGTGTCAATAATGACTTTTTAGGCGTGAATTGCGAAAATGTTTTGAACATTCACACATAACATTTGATAGTCGTTGTGTTTTTTTTTATTATTATACAGTAATTGTTACACCTGTTCTGAAATTGAGAACAAGTAAAATTGTTGTCCAGGATTTAAAAAATTGATTTTTGAAAACACAAAATCGTCTGACCATTGTCAGGGATTTTTGAAAATTTGACACATGATTTTTTTTTTCGAAGGGTTGTGGAGTAGTTTTTTGATAAGTTTGAATGATCCTCAAGGCGGCTTTTATAATTATCTGAATGTGTTTGTATTTCAACGTTTACGTAATAATTATTAAATATGCATTACGTCAAAAATTCATTTCAAACCAAATTAAATCTTATACAAATTATTTTGCTGACAGATGTCATACAACTAAGTATGAGTATTGTAATTTTCAACTTATATTTTTATTTCATTTCTGACAATTATCGGAAGATTTTGTACATTATAGAGTCATTGATTTTAAAAATTCATTTCATATATTTTACAATTATCAAATCAATTATTTTACAATTACAATTCATTGTGCTGACTTTTGCACAACACATTCATGCCATAATTGTCAATATCATACAAATTATTAAAAATAATGTAATTTTTAGACATTTTCATTTCCAACTCAAAATTTTCATCTTATCTGATCAGGAAATACATTCAAAAATTTTACAATTTATTTTTGCTTAGAATTGCACAACATGTCTTTGTCATGCCTTTATTTGTTATACAAATTACAAAATATTGTAATTTTTAGACATTTTCAACTTTATATTTTCATTTCATCTCTGACAATGATCAGAAAATATAAGGTGATTGATTTTCATACCAAATCAAATTATTTACAATATATTGTTGATGAGAATTGCACAACAGATTCATGCCAATATTCCTAATAGACAAATTACTAAAATATTGTAATTTTTAGACAATTTCAACTTTATATTTCCATTTCATCTCTGACAATTCTTAAAAGATTTTGTACAATTATAGAGTCAATAATTTTAAAACTTCATTTTATGTCAAATCAAATATTTTACAATTTATAGTGCTGACTATTACATAAGAGATTTCATTTACATAAAGTTATCCAATTGTTAATCTGGTAATATTGTTATCCAAAGTATTGTAATTTTTAGACATTTAAATTTTTAGCTTGAAATTTTCATTTTATCTCTGACAATGGTCAGAGGATTTTGTTCTGTTATTTTAGTCATTTTTTTCCTCCAGTTTTACTTGTCCATTTCAGGGCAGGTTAACAATTAGTATATAATAACTAAAAATATTTACCTGTGTGCAATTACCAATGTATATATTTATCTAAATTAGTAATTTATATTTAATCATTTATCTATTTATTTACTTTTCTAATTAGATGTGTCCTCTCAATTATATCAATTTCAATTAGTGAAATCTTCCTTCACTTGTTAGTAATGATAACAATTAAATAGTATTTACTAATAAATCCTCTGAAGTACTCTTAATTTTATGAAGTACTTGAAATGGCATGTGTCATCATTTGCATCAATAATCAGCGTGACAAATTATTTTAAAAATACCGTTTATCAGAAACATATGCCAGAAAAACGATATACATATATATGTACACATATACATATCATATGGTGACCAGAAACATCTTCATTTTTAAATAAAAAAAGAGTTAATAAAAGAAAATTCATAAACTTCAACAATTTCTGGTATTATTACATTTCTTTTATTTTTAAAAGTCAATAATTTTTACTAATTTACTTATGGGTGATTTATGATTTTATTCATCGATGACAATTTGTTATGTCAAATTTGTTTCGTTAGCTTTTCAGATAATTTTTGTTTACTAGATGCCTTTTTGAATTTTGAGTCAAATATATTTATACATCGTTTTTTATATTAAAGATCTATATTTTTATCTACGTTTTAGTATTATATTTACTTTTGAGTATTTTTATATGTATGCAATAATATATTTTGGTACGTTATCAATTGATAAATATTGATTCTGGATTTGATCGTCTTTTTTGATTATCATGGAAATGTCTGATACGTATACGTTGGCTTCAAGGAAAAAAACAGGTATTGATATAAATATAACATATATCATTTAACGAATTTATTTCCAAAATACTACTTTTTTAAGAGTATTTTCGCTCCTGTTTCGATTTCTGTAATATGTACAATTTTATTTATCTTTTTGTATAAGAATTGCATAGTTACATCAACTTGCAGATAATGGATCGATGATTACGTATTTTCTGGCTTTTTGCTAATTTTTTGCACGTATTAAATTTAAACTGATATCAAATCATATGCTGAGAGATATGTTGATCTTTAATTATCTGGGACAAAACTTTCATATGAGTCCATATTCAGAATATTGCATACGGTCTTATTAGTCACTCTGAAAGCAGTTATTTAAATCTTTGGATATATATATATATATATATATATATATATATATATATATAGTATTTGACAGAATAAACCTGATGATGGAACGTACCTAGTTCCAAAACGTCGTATTAAACATCTTCAAAAAACAAATTGTTTTTTATTATTGGATTTACTGTTCGGAAAAGAAACAATCAATATATATATATATATATATATATATATATATATATACCAAAATGTATATGTATGTATATATTTATAGTGCAAAAATTATTTGCAAATAAATAATTTTGTATGGCATGTTTATGATACCTCTCGGGCTGCATTTTATGAACGATTGTAAATTTTAGGATTTCATATAAATTAATTGTTATTTATCTACTGCTATTAATTTTAAATCTATCATCAGAAATATTACATAAATTCTCATACTTATTATTTATTATTTTTGATATTATTATATTTTATGGCAATATTTTAATTGATATTGAAAGATCTCTTTACGACTTGTGGTTGTGCAAAAACGATTCCAATTAAAGAATCTATTTTTTCATAATTATTAAATAATATTCTGGAGTCCAATTTTGTTCTTTAAATTCGTCAATGATTACCTAAAACATCATCTTGAAATTTCTGTTTAAAAAAAATGTATATCAAAACGTTGCTAGAACAATGGTTTTCCAATCGTCAAGTTTTTATTTGATGTATTAGTTTTGAATCTTGTAAAAAAATACGGTTTGTTTATGTGAGTTTTTACATGATTGCTTATGAATTTCTACAGATGATTTTATGAATGTAAGAAGAACACAAGTAATTAATCTAACCTGTCAATAGATTAAATCCAAGCAAGTTGGCATTGTCTGAGACATTATCTAACGGATTTCTTAGAGCATATTGTTCTGTGCCATTTCCATATATATTCAAGATCTTAAGAAAATTATTAATGTACAAGGCGATAGCTGTAATTAAATTTGTATTGACGACAAACAATAGCAGAATAAGATTTATATATGATTGTATAATAATATTATGACTCGAGAACTAAATAGGTTATTGATATCATCTGTACCTTATAAATTTATATATTTACAGTTTGTATTTCATCCATGCATCACCATCTTTACTGCTTTTTATTCCTCGAGACATCAATTACTTAATTTATTGTTATGATTCGTGTCAGTATTGGAATATTGGAATCTTTGCCTTAAATGGTCTGCTGGAAGAGAATTGGAACCCTTTCATATAATTACGAATAAATATGTGTGGCCCACGTAAAACAATGGATTCAATGGTTATTGTTCTGGCTGATGGTACAACCTGACTATTGTTTGTTTATGAAATGATAGTTTTTTTAGAATTGAATCATGTGTTAGGTGGGATATTGAATAATTATTTGCACATGGCTTGATGATTTTTGCACCAAGATTTTTTTTATTTTATTTATTTTTTCAATTTCATAATGTAATTGAGGCACAACTCTACCTAGTCTTGGATGTACCTCGACCTTTTTTCTATATGAATTTGATGTAGTCGTTATTTATACTTGGATACGCCTTAATTCTGGTAATATGTGGGCCAAAATGTTGCTAGATATGATAAACACTCAAATGCAGTTTTAGGCTTAACTAGATATAGTCCCGGATTAGGAAAATGCAGCTAAATGGAGTCTTTAATAGATGTATAGTTGAATTTATTTCTGACAGTGACTCTGTCTGGTCATTTGTATAACTCAATATAGGCTCGAATAAAGCTCTATGATTTTTTTAATGTAGCTTCATGTAGTTCTGAACTTTTTTTTATTGTTTATTTGTTGACATTGTAAGCACGTTAGTCATATACATTTTATAATTAATTGTTACACTTTTATTTTATTTGCTTGTATATAAATTGGTTGGTAGGGAGATTTTTTTCTTTACTATCTTTCTCCATAGTTCTTGTCTACCCTTTTCCCATTTTTTGCACTCCATAATGGCGTACTCAGCATCCGCCCTAGTCACTCCACCCAAGCAATAGAACTTAGGGCCGGTATTAATCCCAATTCTGCTCAGGTGAAACTGAACTTAATTGGATATTGTTTTATGTAGTGTTGAATATTTTAGAAATGCATCGTACATAGTCTTGAAATTTAATGCAAGCCTAGATATAATTGCTTCTGAATGCAGTTTGGACTTAACTCGATGTAGTCCTGGTCTGAAAAAATGTAGTACCAATCCAGGTTCTGAAAGTAACTTCAGAAATTGCTGATCGTTGGTCTTTTTAGTCTTTTGTATAACTCATTGTAGTCCTAGATGAACCACTAGATTGTAGATTTAATTAGACATAGATCTGGATGTTCTAGAACTGCAACTTATGTAGTCCTCTAGGTAGTTTTTCGTATACATCTCGATAAAGTCCTGAAGCTCAGT